GTAATAATGTCCTTGGAAACAGCTACACATCATCATATCAAGCACTGTAAGAAAAGACCCATTGGAAACAGACTACTTGGCAAAACAGACTGTTGGTTTGATCCAGAATGATGATTCTGAAACAGTGAATTTGTTCTGGAAATACAGCACTTTACAATGGATTTTTTTTTTTCTTGAACACTTTTAGCTGCAGTAACATGACTCAATGGTACCAGTTCTTCAAAACACAAAGAATTTAACTATGTAGCATAACTACTGAGTGCCACTTCATTTCTTACCTAGTCTCAGAGGGATGGAAATCGGGCACCTCAAATTTAACCAGCCTTGAATCAGAGTCCAAAAATTAGCACAGTAATAATTTCAAAGATGATGGCTAGCAGCAGTAGGGCCTATTAGAGTGATTTCTGCATTACTCCTTCTGTCTTACGTTCCATCTTGGCCTGGTTTATTTAACTGTGTTTGAAGTTATTTATGCCAGGATTAATTTCTCTGGGTAACATTTCTTGATGCCTTTTTGGTTTTAGTGGACTTTAAGAGTCAGCAGAACACTTCACCACACTGAAAAGACTTGTCAACAGCGCCGCAGTTTGTCCTGAGCTTTTTGAGACCTGCAGTTTTTGAGAAGACTTGTAACATTTTGGTATTCTCTTTATCACGTTGCCTGTGTGAATGAACAAGTATATCGGATGAGTATCAAAGCCTTCTGAGAAGGAAAAGATTACCACACTCTTTTGAATCTTTTCCTTTTAATCCTGCAGTGCTGCTTAGAAGATAGGTTTGGGCTTTGGTGTTTTTTTGTTTTTTTTACGAACTGGCCAAGGTATCTCCAAAAGATGATAGCTAGCTGCCTTCTCCCATTATATGAAATTTCCACATTTAGTTGTCCAAAGTTCCCATGGCATGTTGCAGCCCCAGAAATAAGAAATGATCTATCACATGAACTCTGGCTGCTACTTGGGTAGCTTTAGCTCACCGCAGAGAACAAGTGTCAAACTGCAAGTCCCATCAAGTATGAAGACAATAGCTTCTATAGGTACCTAATATAGAGCACATGGAAGTTTTATATAGTGTATTGCTACTCTGTCACTATGCCAACCAGAAATTAGCCTTGTTATTCCTTTAGCTGAAGATCTGTTTCGTAACACAGACTTGGTGACTGAGGCATAAAAGCCCATGTGCAATTTTTCAGATTCAGCTTTAAGGTGAATTTAATGTAGACCTTGTAAAATACGTCTCTCTTCTGAGGCATGGAGGAGAGCAGGTTCACGCTCCTCTCAGCCTTTCAGGACACCAGTGTCCCCAGGAAAGCAGGACAGCGTCTGTCTCTTTTTGATTGAAAATCCTCCTGTGCAGCTTCTAATTTTCTGTAGGTGGGTAAATGTCTACTGCAATAATCCAGACTGGTTAGCTTCTCAGTGCTACTGTAGTATCAGCAGTGAATAACAACAACCAACGAACAGTTCCACTATTTTTCTGCTGATTTGTCTCAGCCTCAGTAGGCGAGGATGTAATGCAGAAGCAAAGCACCTCAGACCTAGTGCTGGGGAGCGCTAACTCGTCAGGTGTAGACTAGATTTCTGCAGGAAAGGGATCTGCTACCACACAGGCATGTTGTAGGACTCCCATCCAATACAAAATATAAATATACACTACATTATTTAAGGGGACTGTAGTAACATCTGAGCCTGTAGTAATTTATAAAGACAGATTATATTGCTGGCTATTCATATATTGAAATTATGCTAACTGTATCCAAGTTCATTGTACTACTTACAGCTCCCCAGAATTCTGACAGATATTTAAATGATTACACTCCTTGCTCCTTATTATAAGTATATAGATTTTTTTCTTAATATACACATTACAAGAAAGATTTTGGACACATTTCCTTTAAAGAAAATGCTCGTTTTACTTTAAGGATTTGAGAGTTTTGGTTGAGAATCTCTTGCCTTATTGATCTGCCTGGTGTCTGACCTGAGAACTTAAATTTGGGAGCAAAACAGAGTTTCAATCTAGATTTAAGTAAAACTACTTCTATGATTTCAGCAGCCTTTGTTCAACCATTCAAACAATCTTGTTAAAAAGTACTCATCTCCAAAATTTTAATTAACTCCATTTTATATATAGTTTACAATAAAAACCCTTGTTCCCTTAGCCTTGTTCTCCCTGGCTAATTTTTATTGGTTTGGGCATATCCTCTAACGTAGTGTCTGAATTAGGTTTGGGAGCATTTTTTTAGTCTATAACTCCGGTTTAGGAAAACAGTGATGGCTTGTCAGTGAAGAACCAGTGCCATCTAAGGGCTGAAAGCTGAAAGGAGGGGAAGTGTCCAAAAGACTAAATACAATCGAGATAATAAGAACCAGTGACAGGCAAAAAGGAAATAATGGGAAAAAAAATCCAGCTAATGCAAATAGTGGCAAGCACAGTACAGACACATCCTCAGGGCTGCCCTGGCTTGGGGAACAGTGGGGAGGAAAGGTGGCCTTTGCCTGTTGACACTGCTTTGGGTCAGTGACATCTGCTCAATGTTCCTCCAAAGCAGTCCCTCCACGGGGCTGATTGACTGGGAGTAGGAATGTGCGGGAGGAGATGGGTCCTCAGCTGCATCCAGACGTCACGTATTTAAGATTACTATCCATTTGAAGAGGCTGCTTATAAAAAGAAAGAGAAGAACACCAAACAGCTTTAGGACCACATCTTTAGAAAATTCTCACTAAACTCTGTTGTGTGTATGTGTATATGTAGATATAAAGATACTTTTTATTCCTTTCTTAAAGGTATTTTAATACCCTACTTCTGATTATCATGCTTTCAAGTAAACTTTGAGGAAAAGACTCCTTACATAGAAAATGCATGCTTTGTGTCAGGCATGACAGCAGAAACTCGAGTTTCCACTCAAGTACGTTCGCTGAATAAGCTGTCTTTGAACTCCCTCTGGTGGTATAAAAGTTTTGGAAGTAGAAAAAGCTTTTGGAAGCACTCGTGGACCCTCAAATTACATAGTTTTAGCAAATAGTTGATAGTTTGTGATTTTTTTTCACTCTTCCTAAAAATGGCTATGGAAGAAGACGGGGAAAATGGCAAACATATCACATTTATGCAGAGGTTATTTTTTTTTTTCATTTTGTTATGCAGAAAAAGAAGTTGGTGAGTTTCTCTCACTCCAGACACAAATGCATAGAGTTACCTTTGGTTGCAATCATGCTTCACACTGGCGAAGCATCACAGTTATAAAACTTCCTCTGCTGTCTGCAAAGGAACTACTTTGAAACAGAAATAAGCCAGACAAGTTGAGGGACAAGTGGGGACCACACTAACTGGAACGGGCCGATCTGAAAGATCCTTAGTTGTACCAGTGAGCAATTAACCCTCAGACAGGGTTAATTAAAGAATCATTTCCTTGGCATGACTGGGCTGCTCATGGAAGCAGCTGATTACCAGAAGGGCACCAGGCTGTCCTTGCTGACCAGCGGTGTTGAAGGTCAAACCTCTCCCTCTGCTGCTGAATGCTGATTTTGGTCACATTTGGACTCCTCCAGAACGTTCTATTCCCCCCCCCCCCAAAAGGGCACACGGTGGAAGAAGAATATGTATTGCCTGTTTTAATGCTGAAGCTCTGCTAGATCAGAGAGGGCCTTATTCAGCACCCTTCCTAATCTGTCCAGGCTCAACTCCATCCTTCACAGAGATGCCCATCTGCCATGCCTGCAGCAGGACAGGCTCCAGTCCCACCTCCCAGACATGTCACGGACACCACGGCCGTGCAAGGGGGCTCCTGCCCAATGCATACACTTGAGCTGAGCACCCACGTCGGAGCTGGGCTGTTGCTCAAGTCTCAGCCTATTCTGTGATTATCAACCGTGGGAAAACTCCAGGTGTTTTGGGAAGCACCGAATCCTTCTCAGGTACTCATCCTGTGATGAAGAACAGGTAAGGTGTGGTTTCAGAGTGAGAAGGAATACAGGGAGGGACTGTGTTTACTACAGGCCGTGTTCTATTTGCATTTATATGCAAAAATAAGATGAGATGACTGCAAATATTTTCTCAGTCTTCCACATTCTTTTAGTTTTCCTGAGAGGGCTAAAAGAGGAGAGAGGAGGAAAAACCTCCTCATGCAGTGTTCGGACATGTGAATTCTAATGAAACTTTCATTGACCCCCTCCCTCCTTCTCTGTATAAAATTAACTGAATCTATCAGGTTTTTGTGGGTTTTTTTTTTTTTTACTTCCTTTGTCTTCCTTAAGAGAAATACTAGTAAATCTCAACAGCAAGCAGAGCACAAGTGTGTGAGAGACTGTTAAAAGTAGCCTAACCACTGCATATGTTATTTATGATCTGTAAGGAAAAAGCCAGAATATTCCCAGCAAGTCCTTTTCAAACCCTTAAATACTAATTTGTTCTGAAAATGCCTTGCGATTGTTTTCTAGGACCAAGAAAAAAAAAAAATCTATAAACCAAAATGAGCTCAATACCTTGATTTATTCCTTATCCTCTGGAGCTGTGCCTTTTTCAGTATTGCTAAGTTTGCAAGACTTCGGGTAAGCAGGTCCTGTGCATATGAAAGAGGCTGAGGAATCACGAAGCAAGAGACTCAATAACACACCTTTATTGGGCTTTACGAATCACTAGGAACAAAGACAGTCATGTGGCTTGAGTTCATGAAGTGATAACTTTAAAAAAGGGAAAAGGGACCTGCTGCAGCTCTGTGAGCTACAAACCCAGCACAGAAAGCACAGTAGAGAGAAAGAATTGGAAAAAAAAACCCAACCTAAAAACCCAGCAAACAAGGCAAGGGATGGAGAGCAGTGCTGAGGAAATGAGTCCAGGAAGGCTGAGAAAGAGCCACTTGTACCCGGTTTGTGCCTTGGGTAGTGAGACAACCTGAAGCCCTGTGGGCCATCACAAGGAGGCTGGAGGAAAAGCACCCTCTGGGCTGGAGTCACTCAGGAAGAGCAGATGACTGTGTGAGGGACACAGGAGGGGACAGAGGGTTGACTTTATGAGGTGGTTCTGCAATCCATCAGTTTGCGAAAGCTCTTCCGGAAACTGTCATCCAGAAAGGCATACAGGAAAGGGTTGAAGCAGCTGTTGGCGTAACTCAAGCTAGTGATGAAGTAGGAAATCCCAATGATGAGTGGAGTTTGCGGGATGTCTGCGGTGAGGGCCACCACTGTGCTAAGGTGATAGGGCGTCCAGCAGAGGAGGCACACAGCCAGGATGACAACCACCATCAGCGTCACCTTTTTTTTGGCTTTATCCAGGGCTTTTGCATTGCAATGGAGGTGCACACGTCTCAATCTGCACAGCATGGTGGTGTAGAGGATGCAGATGGTGGACACTGGGATGGCAAAGCCTAAAATAAGGGTGTAGATCCGACTGCCTTTCCACCACACGCTCTCAGGGTGGGGGAACACGAAGACGCACTGGGAGCGCCCCTGCTCCTTGTGTATCTTAGCAAAGACAGTGAAGGGCAGGATGATGACTGTGACGAAGGACCAGACACAGAGGCTCACAATCTTGGCTGCTCGGTAGGTGCGGTAGGACATCTTCCTGGACTTGGTGGTGGCCACCACAACCAGGTAGCGGTCAATGCTCATGACAGTGAGGAAGTAGATGCTGGAGAAGGTGTTGTACTGGTCTATGGAGATGATGAGCTTGCACATGAACTCTCCAAAGGGCCACTGCAGGAGCAGGTAGTCAGCAATGTTGATGGGTAGCACCAAGGTAAAGAGCTCATCAGCAATGGCCAGGTTGAGAATGAAAATGTTGGTGACCGTTTTCATTTTCGGGGCTTTGAGGATTACATAGATGACGGCGGTGTTGCCTGTCAGCCCCACGGCACAGATGACTGAGTAGACGACAGGTACCGTGACGTAGAAGATGGTGCTCAGTGAGGGAGTGGACATATTCTGACTGCCATCCCCTCTCTCAGTGCAGTCTGCACATGATGAATGGGTCTCAGGGAGGGAGGAGTTCTCCATGGCCACAGGAGAGGCTGGCCAGATCCACTGGTGATGGGAACAACTTCAAAGTGAGGGAAAAAAGCTGAGACCCTTGCTCTTCTCAAGCTTGTCTCCTCCAGTGCATCCAACCACTGAGGTCTCCTGTATGCTGCCCACTGCTGCTCTGCTGGGAGCAAGGGGAGATCACCAAGGGCTCAACCAGCAGCAGAGGGTCCCACCCCACCCCCCAAAAAAGTGGCAATGGTCCCCCGCCGGCTGCTCCTTCCCTCCTCCGGCACCCACGGGCACTGAGTGGGGTCAGCACCCAGCCTCGGACTCCCCCAAACTGACCACTCCAAGGTGACAGCGCTCACCAGGAGAACCTAGTGGGCCGGGTTGGACTGCGGGACTCTTGCCCTCGGGGGGGCAGCTGTGTGCTTGGGACGCTCCCCCAAAAGCAAAACACCCTCACCGCCCCCTCTCCCGACAGCACCGAGTGTTTTGGAAGGGAAGGAAGGATGCACCGACCTGGCTGGTGTGGTCCAGCTCCCGCAGAAACGCAGGGGGGATGCGGGTGCCGGGTCCGTGCAGGCGGGGAGATGCCGGTGCCGCTTCTTGGCTTGATGCTGAGAGTCAAATTTGCATCCGTCTCGATCTAGGTAGCAACAAATAGGTGACACAAACAGCAGAGAGGATGGTTTAAAAGTCGGGAGCTGGACCACTGGACCACTGGAATGAGATTTCTGAAAATACCTGGAGTCACAGCTCCACCCGACGACGGCGAGATGCAGCAAAGGGGAGAGCAATCCCAGCTCTAGGTGACATCTGCTTGTCGTGCTGGCTCTGGGAGCTCAGCAGCCACCTGCTCAGCAGCCACCGCCTGGCCGGGCGGCGGGGGGTGGGCAGCGCCCAGCTCTCGGGTGAAGCTGGACATTTTGCCCTGAAAAGGAGTTTTTCGTGGGGTGTGGGGTATCAAACCCACAGGACAGATGCACGGAGCTCCTGTACCTCTGCCTGACGCTTTCACTGCTTCACGCTGTGATAATGATAGACTTGAATATAACGCCAGGGGGGCATTTTTTTTAGAGGGTAATGCAGAGTTCCTGATTATCCTGTTGTTTGCTCTTTTTCCAAAAAACACATGGTGTAAAATCTACCTCACTCCAGTTTGTTTTGCTTCTTAAATGCAATTGAATTCTATGGGCTTGTAATACATCCGATAAATCTTGAATCAGGAGTCAAACAACTTCTTTTGTGGTGTTACCAGCAGTACTGACTACATACCTTAATACTAATTACTAATTAATTACTAATAATGTAATACATGCAGCTTTTGGCAAATAATTTGGCAAACTGTTTAGTACCTCTAAGCTAACACCATGGAGTGAGAAGTAAGCACAGTCTGGCTGTCCCATAGTTAGTGAGCTACTTATATTTTTACTTCACTAATTTTTCCACCCAATCAGTTGTTTTTCAGGCTTTTTTTTTTTTTTTTTTCACATTGACCCCTTTGATTTGGTGTCCATTGCCCATCAAAAGAATTTTCTGTGTATTAGAGATGAAAGTGAAGATAGTTTTGTCCCTTCTTTCATGTTGTTTCTGCCTTTTATGGCTACCACCTTCTCCTGCCCAAGCTCTTTCTGGCTGATTTTGAATGATTGTGTGTTTGTTGTTTTTTAGGAAGCTGGCTGGGTTGCTCCTAGTTTGGTGATTAGGCTGGGGAAACAGGGGCTAATTGTACCAATTGTACTGGAGAGCTGATTGTGGAGATTGAGAAAGAGAATAAAGCAGTTCTCAGGGCCAGATGGGAAGGGAACAGGTAGTGACTGGAATTGTAAATATCTTGAAAACTGTTTTAGGCAATTTATTTGTATTTTCCATTTTAAAATAAAGCAGCACATTGCAGTCTCAGAACAGGGACTCATGGGCTCAGATAAGCTAGTGGCTCACAGATGAGGGAATGTTGTGTGAACACAAAGGTATAAGGTAGTTTTTTTCTCCAGGATTGTCAAGTTGATTTCACAGGTTGCAAACACCCCTTGGATCATTAAAATATATCAGGTCTCGTGGACAGTCATCAAAGTAATGTTTTTTTTTTTCCTTTTATAACACCAGTTTCCCAGAAAGGCAATCCAAGATATGAAGAGTGGGGCTGGGGGGAGGGAGGTGGGGGGAAGCCCAGAGAAATACAGTGGCTTGCCTCAGGAGAGCAGTCTAGTTATTGGAACAGCGAATAACATGTGGAACACAGGATTTTGAAGTACTTCAGTGTTTACTAGGGTCCTTGCAACTCGGCCCCCCACCCCAAAAAAAAACAAACAAAAAAGTTGTTGTTTCTTTCTGTTTCATACTTGTGATACAGAGGCCTTCATTTCTGTTTCATGTGAGGCTGAGATAGGAATGTGAAGAAAATGCAAAAACAATGCAGAGACTTTAACTTCACTATAGATATATTTGAGTCTTTATTGCTGACTGCTATAAACTTAGAAATCCTGTACTTTGGGTCCTGTGTGGACATGTCCAGGTCACAGCACGCGTCTCAGTGGTTCAGGAGGTGCACTGAGCCTCTTCCTTGCAGCTGAAAGCAAAAAGAAATGAGAAATGCTAGGAATAACCCGATAACCCCTATAAGGTGAGACTTTCAGGATTTGGAAGTCTGGACTAACAACTGCAGCAGCTCCTCAAAGAGGCATTAAAACCTGTAGACCAAATTCAGCTCTTGGTCAATGAAGTATGACCTCACTGGTGGAGCTGTGCCTGCTGACAAACTGTTGTACCAGCCAGTCATTAGGCATGCTAACACCGTATGCTCATGCCCTGAGAAGACACTAATTTGTAATCATTATCTATGCATACAGAATATCTCTGGCCACATTTTCTTCTGAATACTTTTAGTAGTTCATGCTGTCCAAGTTAAGAAAAGAAAGAGTCAGATGTCTTTTTTCTTTAAGCAGTATAAATCACGATTGCTTCTTCAGTATCATTATCTGGTGACCTAGATGAGTAACAGAGGAATAAATGACTTCATGAATTGCTGCTAATAACTGAGATTTCTTCATTACAAGCATACAAGTTTTGTACCTTCTCCATTCAGTTAATCTGTGTCTGAATTTGAGGATGTATCCCTTCTTCCTGTGGGCCAAACCCATGTGAGAGCGAGATCATCTCACTGGTTAACTGAGTCAGACTTGAAGAATTTCAATCATCAGCTCAAGTGGGGAGGAAATAGCCACATAACTTCTCTTTGCAGGAGCACTTCATCAATCAGTACAGAAGAGAGCTCAGCTGTGGAGCTAGGGTGCAGCTTCTGAAGTAAGAAAACACACTCATTCCCTACCTTTGGGACTCACTTATTTGCCAATGCAACGTACAGATGTGGAGGAGTGCAAAAATATTCAAGTGAGAGGGTCCTTTTGTGACTCTTGAGTTCTAGGGAGGGAAGATTTTGGATTAATAGATCTGTTTATTAGGTGCAAAGGAATAAACTTGCCTGCATGCCAGGTAACATCAAGATCAGGCTATCCTATACCCGTCTTCACAATAATTTGCATACATTCGGTGTATTTACAAAACATTCAGTGATGGCAAAGCCACAGCCTCCCCAAATCATTTGCTCCAGGCATTCTATTCTTCAAACCTTGACTTTTTGCTGTGATTTTAAATCTTTTGATTATTTTCCTAACCCAAATAGAAGCTGAGAACAGAATGTTTTCTGCCCCCTCTTATGAGCTCTTCTGTGTCTGAACACTGCATTGTCTTCCCCTTAGTCTTTTTGCTAGACTGACAAACACAGTTCTCAGAGTCCTTCCTTCTGGGTCATCTGTTCTACATCAGAGAAGAGCAGTTATTTCCATTTGGTCTGTGGCTTCTGAGTGGTGTCTTCTGTTAGGTTTTCCTGTATTTATTATGTGTCATATCTTTGTGGTAGTATCAAAACAAAGTTGGACATCAGGAAATGAGGCCTGTGGCAAAGCTTCAGGTTGTTGTGATTCAGACCAGGGTTGGCAGAGTTGTCCCCGTGCAGAGTTGGCCACCCAGAGTTGTCCCATTCCCTTGGCAGCCTTCTACATGCTCAGGATTTGGAGAAATAAAGAGCCCTGCAAGGCAGGGCTGGAGGGTTGGGAAGCTGTTATAGGAGAACATGTGCACGGTGTCTTTGCACTGCATTACTCAACAAGGAATCAACCCGTGTCTATCACATCCTACTGGTTTCAATTCAACATCACCCCAGTAAGACGAAACTGTGTCCCACAGAGCAAACTAACGTCTCTGCCTCGTGCTTCCCACTGCAGCCTGTGGGAGCAGATGAGTTCCGTCACTGCAGTAGGGTGAGTGAGGCCCTTATGGGCAACGGGAATTGATGGCACCAGATGTGACATGAAATGTTGTCTATTTAATGTCTACATTCCTGTGAGAAGAGACCTGAGTTTGTTTCTCCAAAACATGATAACTGGACACCAGGGGGAACAGTCAGTCTCCCTTCCCTTCTCTGATACTAATAAACCCCCCCGTTGCAGTATAGAACTTTTACCTCCCTTAGCATGTATAACCCTTTGTAAAACCATAGAATTTAGGCTGCAAGGGACTTTCAGAGCTCTTCTCTGCGAGCTCTTGTTCAAAGCGATGCCAGCTTCAGAGTTAGATTAGGTCCCTCAGATTCTTGTCCTCTTGAGTTTTGAATATCTCCAGGGATGGAGATCCCACAGCCTTGCTGTGCACCTCTTCCAGTGCTTGGCCACTCTCACTGTGAATAGTTGCTCCTTTATTTCTCACTGAAATATCTTGGGGTTTTTTTGCCTCACATCCATTCATTGTGTACATCCCACAAGAGTCTGACTCTGTTTTAGGTAGGTGAAGGCAGCAATTATATCTGGAAATTTGTATTACAAATAAGCACTTGAGTTTTGGCCATTACAGCAAAACCCTGGGCAATAGTTTAAAAAGGAATCAGATACGAGAGACCTGTAATGCAGAAGGCACACAGCAGAATGCCTCTCATCGTAGTGTAAAGCTGCTGGTAGCAGACTGTCAGCACTTTT